CGGGTGCAATTTTTCTAATGAAAGCTAAAGTTTGTTACGGCCCTAAAGGCTGGAACAGACTGTACGTGGTCCGCGTTGGCGTTGCAGGATTGATTCTAGTTCTTCTTCTTCTTCTTCTTCTTCTTCCTCCTCCGCTTCCTTCTCTTCTTCTACTTGGAGGAAAAGTTCCGACTAACAGTACCGGCTTCCCTACGGGAGTTTTATTACGCCAGAGACGCGCTTATCCCGGCCACAGATTCGCGCCAACATATCCTTGGCTGTCGATAAGTCTACGCTTGTACGAGAAAAGAAGAGGACAGCGAAAAAAGGGAAGTAAAAATAGCTGGGAAACGCGAAGGCGCGCGTACCGATTCCCGTGGTCGTTTCGCATCGGACACTGGGCTTTATTTTGTTCTTCGTGCGCAGCAACACCAGATCACGGGACAATCGTTCGTGAAATAAAGGCGCCATTACCGGCTGCGGTGATACTACATGCGATCGCTACACAACGTTCGACAACGGCGTCGACGTGAAAGCTTTAACGGTGGAACCGGAGGAGATTTTCGCGAGCCACGAAATGGGATAAAATATAGGTATAGGTTTATGTGTACGCGTTCGCACATGCGTATGTGTGTGTAAGTATATAGAAACGTCGACGTTGAAATACAGAAAACACCAAGTACTTTAGGTGGCGAGGTAAACACAAAGAGGATGCAACCCCAAAAAAGGAGAGAATACCTCTCGTGCCAGAGATGGAGATGCCAGGCAGCAGAGAGCTGCTTAGCCTGGAATTCCGTTGATGGATGGAATTCACTTCGTGCCGACGAGTAAGTATAATAGAAGTGAAGTTGGGCCTCGCGGTGCCTACTGTTGCTGAATAGAAGCTTCGTTAGGCTTTGTCTAAGCGGAGTGCTGCAGCTTTACCCCTGCCATCCGCAATTTCCACCGCCACGCAACCCTCACCCTTATCCTTCGAGTTTCTACCTACTTGAATTATTCTCTGCCACGTCTCTACGAGAACGGACCAACCAGCCACGCTCCACGGCCTTAACATCGCGTTGCGCGAGTCTCTGACTTGCCCATCCGTAATTCCGCTACCGTTACCATTCTTCGCCCTTTCTTTATCCCCCACCCACGTCGATTCTTACATCCAGGAATATATGTATACATATATTTTAAACGCCGCTACGTAACCGATCGAAGAAACGATAAGATGCGTAATTACTACACTGGCCGTCCGTGCTAGAATCGTCCACGAAGAGAAAAATTAAAAAAACAAACATTCCCGATCGAATAAAAACAAAAACATCGAACGATCGGCAGAATTCACCGAGTGCAGAAGGGATTAAAATGTCATTGTTTCCTGGCACGGAGAATTCGACAAAATGGAAGTAATAAGTCGACGGTTATGAGCCAACGACACTTCCGCCGTCTGATAAGTTCTCGGTAAGTACCGGAAGCTCCGAGGTTGAAACTACGACGGTGATGCATTCGAGTTCGGTTACGCCGAGACAGTTGTTCGGGGTAGTTTCCCCGGCGATGTTACAACTGGGGGAGAGAGAACGTCCCTGATAGTTCCCTACCACCTTAATGCAGTTCCCGGCGCAGTTGCGACCCACTCGCCCGATGCCGGGCAACAATAAAACTCCTATCTTCGGCCATCCTCCCCACTTACATATTTATCTTTATTGACCCTGTTATTTCCGTTCCCTTCCTCGAACAGACAGCGCGCGATATCTTTGCACGCCCTATTCGCGTATAGGGTTTTTCTACCGTAAGTGTTCATACTATAAAATTATACTGTTTACGTTAAATCATAACGAACAACGGACGGCGAGCAAATTCCCCTGCAGCTCGAACAACCGCGACACCCTATAATTATAATAGCTCAACGGGTGTACAACCCTAAATATTTGATCAAGGCGGTAGCTTTCTCGTGTCGTATCGAAGGTTACGACAAAGGAACCACTTAAAGGATACGGGTCAAACAGGCTATTAAAACTTCTAGATGGTACGTGAAACTCCTATGGTGAACCCTAACGGTCGCCTCACAAGTTTATGTCAAACTGACCTAATTTGACTTGAACGTTTTAATCCGGACCTAGGGACTTCGATCCAAAGATTCGCTGGAATCCTGCGATGAGAGGAGAATAAATGTTATTTTTTTTTCTCGAGTCGAAATTAATTGAAACTCTGTTCGTAATTTTTGTGTAACAATGACCAACGCGTACCGCCGCCCTGTTAAACGCAAAAATTACGCATGCGCGATAATACGGTTCTCGTAATACAACCGTTACTCAGAAATCCATGACTCAAAGTGAAATGAATTTAAATAAGTAAACGCATGTCGGTATGCGCTTTGTAATCTCGATATACGTATATACATATTCATTGTGACACATTCGAAAGAATCACTATCGTAAGAAAACAAACGATCATTAGTCATATATGACATGAATCTCGGCGCATTCTCTGCCATGTGAACATTAAACTGTCTCTAGAAATATCTCTGTGCCATACATACATGAAAAACTTTTCTCCGCTAAATTTCATTCAACGTTTTAGGTAACTTAAAAGATAACAAAACATCGTCTCGCAATATGTATACTTACTTACCATATTACGACGATTCAACGTGGTCTCGCGATGAACTTTTCCGAGGTGATGTCCCTCGTTATGTCCGTAAAGCACGACATAGCCTCATCTCCAACTAAACGACACCAGACCATAATATCTCTCTCACACAGAACACAAACAAGTTACGAGTTAATATTAAAGTTTAACGCAAAATCACCCGGTAAAAGGTGTACAAAGCAACAGATAATAACTCAAAATCGAAAGAATTCTGAACAGGATACACAGGACACGTCACACTCTACAAACAATTCACCGCGAACTGGCGGGAACTACGATTTCCGAAACCGCCATCTGTGGAACGCGTGTGTAAACGCGAAGTACCGGAAAAATCGGTTCACGGTCCTCTGACGGCGAGTGCAGTAAACATTCAAACGTTTCGTTTGTACCCGTAGAGAAGCGCAATCGTAAATCGAAAAAACATAAAGACTGTATCTTTAATTCGTGAACCGGTACTTTTATGTGTTTCACTATATGCACTGTAGACACTATCAAGAAGGTAAAAGGCAGCAGAAAGAAAAAGGATGCCGCATGTAACACATACACCATCAATCTGCGACCACATGCTTAAATATACACGCGAGGCGCACGAGAGACACGACGGTTTCATGCATATAACGTTGCACATATATTTGGACGATGCACAGGATTTTAGTATGCAGAGCAGGCCGTCTTTAATGTTGAAATATCGCCGCGAACACCACAGCGTCGCCGCCGTGCCTCGTCTTTCCCCAGTCGGCGCAATTTCATACCCTTTTACGACACCAGTACTCGGTACGCGTTTCAACCGAAATCTGTGACCCATCGAGCACGCCAGCCAACCCCGAAATGCTACGTGACGTGAAATATGTCGATGATATTCCATGCAAACCTGCCGGATGATCCCGTTGTCGCTTCTTTCGCGTGATTCCATATACCTGCAAACATAATATTTTCGAACGCGTACCCTTGTCGATCGTTGTCCACACACTTATATACGCTTCCGTACGATACTAATATTGTTTTTCTTTTTGAAAAACATTCACACCGAATGTTGCCGGTTATACGTACGGTTGTACCGGCGCCGTACTACAGAGACCTCTGCCAGTGTTCCTTCTCTTAATCCTCTACTCGACGGCAACCAGTTTGTTTTTCAAGCGTCCGTCCCGAGATGCTTTACCAAACTTCCTCGTTTCTTGCTTTCACGGTTGTTTTGCCTCCCTGTCCTGATGCGCGAGTCTGTCTGATTCACGCCTCGATGAACACCCGCAAATTTCGAGCCCCTTCCATCTATCGACCTTTGTTTCGTTACCCCCCGCCACTCAGTTGCCCCTGAGACCTAATTATTAAGTAATTTTCGCGTAAATGACAAACACGTATACGCCACTTGATGCCGAGAACTCGTAACGAGACCAAATAATTGCATCCGATAATGGATCCTCGCGACAGATTCTCCGAAGCAGTATTTGGACAACTTGTTCTATTTCTGGAAGGGATGAAATCTTTGAAACAGAATCTATCAAAGAGACAGGGAGGAACTTGAAACAGCGATAAAGAGGGAGCCGAAGTTCAGTCGATTTCTTGGAATTTTGCATTCAAGAGCAAATCTTTCCTCCTCCCTCCTTCCGCTTAGTAAATCTCGGCTGCTTTCGATTCTTTTTTTCTCTTTCATTAACGGCACGTCGAGCTACTCTGCAATTTCCTTAGGTAGACAATAAGCACGGTCGAGAAAAAGGAAAACGAAACGAGAACTCGGGCGCAGGAGGAGCCGCTACTGCCTTTCATAAAATCCAATTTAAGAACTGCTTCTGATTCCCGTCGTCCGTCCTTGTTCCACGGTAATAAAGAACGACCGAGACCTATTCTTTATACACTTGCAAGTAAACTGCATTTAATATGACGGTTATTACTTTGTATGCCCGGTACGGTGTTTGCAATGTTTTAACGATACATATCGACGAAGGAAAATTTGCCAATTTTCTCGGGATTTTAAATGTAGTTTGAAATTATTGACAGCGCTTTCCGGTGAATATACGTTTCTTTCTCGTTCTTGCACGCTACAGACATACCGTAGTTAGAGTTGAATTAGTGCTCAGGCACAATGCCAACTGCATATCTAGATGTATATCTCCGCTATGCTATCGTTCCTCGCAGTTTACCGAAAACAATAAGCACACTCGCAATGTTCAATGATATAGTACGCGTTTACATCAGAAATATTATAAACACTACTTTACCATTCGCGTATACTTATCGTCCTTTCGTCGTCTCTATATCGGTAGATATGTTAATAAGTTTTAATTAACAAAGGGAATCACACGTTGCTACCACGTTTAATTGCACTAACATTATTGCACCAAAGATGAAACGTACAAATTAATTACACAATTAATTCTACTCGAATTTCATCGGTATTTATTTTAAGAAAATGCATCCTTCACAAAGGATTCACGTACGAGGACAAGGCTCTACGTCGTTTACAGCATTCCGATAATCTTTCCACAACTGCGCTTGTTTGAAGCATAGAGCTCCACCGCCTCGGTAATATTGCGTATCCTGAAAAAAGAAATAATACCTCTAACATTTTCGCATATTCCGTGTCTGTATGTTTGCGTGATCGCTTCTCAAACAGGAAACAAATATATTTACAGCTCTGTTAATATCACCGATGCAAACCCAATGAGTATTCGTTTTGTTGGTCACGGTTATAGCCCACTTGGAGTGATCACGACTACTCGAAAAATCGACGTTAGCTGAATCGAATTTCAGAGATCTTACGTTGTAAATTCTGCAAAATGAATGGACTTGTGAAAAAAGAAATCATGGAAAAGTAAACGCCGAACATTAAAAGTAGGTATATTGTTTTACTTTATACGACTGCAAGTAGAAGGAAGCTTTCCGCGGCCATTCAGCCACGATTGTACGTAGAGATTCGTCTGCAATTGTGGCGCCACGAAATCAGCATATAAATCTATAAGTAATATATCCCATAACGTAATCATGCAAGAAGATTTCATTGAATGTAGCTTAATATTACCTTTCTGCCATTTGCTTCCCTTCGCAAACGAAGTGAAATAGACGGATCCCAATGATCTTATGGCAGCTTTATGATTATACGGAGGCGATTTAATGCGTTTTTGATTAGTCGCGTTCCTCAACATTGGATACCGTTTATCAAGTAGTTCGGGGATATTTTTCGCATACACCGATATCTCATTGTACATTAACTGTTCACCGACAGTATCGAATTGGTCGCCGCCAAGTGAAACGCAGAGAAAACTCTGCCCGAAAATTGTTCCACTTTCTGGATAACTATACCTGCCCTCGATACTTGTATTTCCATTTTTCGAGTGACGAGTTAATTCGCCACCATTGGGAACAGGGGGATAATTCGGAACGCTATGAATTAACCAAAAACCCTGACCGCTGTTAACCATCACTACACCCTTCGTGTGGCCATATTTAAAGACAGTCGGTGCGTCCGGAGGGCTATCGTTGTATAACGTCCACATCGTTTCATTTTCACGCTTCTACAGAGTAAAATTCGACGAAACATTGAAAATCATTGCAAAGAAGAAGTAGAATCATTAATTCTTTGACTTTGAGACTGTTCATGATTAAATAACTTGTACTAATTAATGTTTTTATCTAGAGACTTACTTGGTTATACAAAGGCGCTAATGTCAATCCAGGGATAGAATTATTTGAACCGATGGGCCTTGTAGACAAGCCCCAACCGGTTTTGATAGTAGCGTTTGTTATATACAGATAAGCAAGACCTTCTCTGATCAAGGGATTACTACTTGTTCGGGTTTTCGGTAACTTATAAAGTACATACCTAAAAGATCGCGGTTAAGAATTTTCTTACAATCGAGCCTGTTAGAAACCGTTTCGTCATTTTTAGACTCGCTTAGGCGGTGATTCATATGTCACTAATGCTTCGCAAATAGATCCAAAAATGACTAAAGGCTCTAGTGAAAGGAGCATGTATTTGGACAACTGTGTGAAAGACTTACCAATCAACCGGTACATTATTTTCGTCTTTACATTGTAAATTATCTTGAGGTTTACCGATTACAATGTTACAGACGAACAGCCACGCAATCGTGTGATATAAAATACTCATCGTACTTTACTAAAATAAGAAAAGAAATATTCTCTTCACGATTTTATAGAATAATGAGGATATATCCTCATGAGTTTTAACGCGAAATGAAGTCACGCTGAAATAGTAAGTTGCTCGATCACGATTGTGTCCAATTATAATTATACGTGCTATTGAATTACAAGAAGTCTTGGCAAATCTTTACAGATTGTTGTTTCTCACATATAATAAGGATATTAAAATGGCTTTTAAATGGCTGTTAATATACTTCGGGTTTTGTTGTACAAGCCCTCAATTATCACTCCACGAACAGTTTCAACTATTTCGTATGAATTCCATATAAGACGTACAGTGAGGAGTTACTATTGAAAACTGTTCAGAAATGTTTCTTCTAACATGATATGCTTTGAAAATAAAGACATTGATATCTATCGTTTCTTAAATTCATGCAAAGTGCGCTCTTCAAACCCATGATAAACTTACTAATCAAGCTTTCCATAGATATATGTACTCAGACGTGTATACGTACCGAAATTTTTCACAAATCAAGCACGACAATATGGTACAGCTGTTCCTCCAATGAAATTACCGTCATCACGATCGGTACACTGCAGAGCGACTGGACTGGTTGTGTTGAATGTACCGACATCCATAAACGAAGCATCGCACTACGTCACGCAACCTTATTCATCCTATTGGCTAACCGGTTTTCGGACTCTGTTTCATACATTTCGTCTTTGACTTTCCAAACATAATACAAAATGAGAAAATTTACATGTTATCCCATATTTTATCTTCACTTACTTAATACATTGATTAAAGTGAGACCTTAATTATAGTATGTGTCATTACAAGATTTCTTTAATCATATTCATATTCTTTTATTTTTCCTTAACTCGATTTTACAAATAGAATATACAATATGCATGCTTTATATCTTCTGATTATTTCACTTTCAAAAAATCTACTTTTCGAAATTCCAAATATGTACAACTTGAATTTAGAGGAACACTCAACCCCATCTTTCATCGAACGTCTGAACTGAAAGGTGCTCAAGAAATTTATGATATGATCGACTGCAGTGAAGTAGCAATATGGCGGTCGTAAGCTGCAGTGAGCCGAACGTCATAATATCACAATGAGAAAACAAGACGTACTGTGTAAAGGAATAGTAACGTGTTAAATTCGTAATTCAATGAAATGTTTTCCCAACGATGACACTGCCAGCAGATCATTCTAAGCGGCACAGCGAATTCCGTTGAGATATCTCTAAAAACCGACAAGGAACACAATAATGAGTTCTTCTATTGTAGGACTTATCACAGAATATTGTTAACGCTAACAGAATAACGAAGAAACAACTCGCAAACTCTCTGGCGAATGGAGGTATGCGTTAAAAAACATTATTTAGTATAATTATAGGCAAACAATGATATCTACTATTATATTTTTGATAGTTCCATCAACTTTAAATTATTTTTTCACACATAGTCTTCCATTCCTTCCCTTTATTTTCATTACCTTCCTTCCTTTCATTTACCAGCGATATATTTATATGAATTGTTTAAATAATATTTTAACATTTTTGTAGTTGCTCGGTATAAGAAACCACATCTATAAAGTCTCTATGACCTAATGCGTTTCAAGATAAATAAATTTTCAACTTGAAATTCTGATATTTTATTCACTGAAGAAAACTAAAGATGAGTAGAATAGAAAGCAGTTCTGATAATGGAAGTGGTTGGCATGAGTGTACCAAATGGTTGACCCGATGTGGAGCTTTAAGGGCAGATCACAAGGCAAATTGGCCAGAAGCAGTTGCACGTGATTTAGCTTATACATTGAGAGATGGTGTGCTATTATGCAATCTCCTAAATACAGTGGATCCTGGGTGCATAGATATGAAAGATGTGAATCAAAAACCACAAATGGCACAGTTTCTGTGTTTAAGAAATATAAAAGTATTTTTGTCAGCATGCTCAACCATTTTTGGCCTATCCAATTCCGACCTTTTTGAACCCTCCGTGTTGTTTGATCTATCAGATTTTCATCGAGTACTATGTACTTTATCTGCTTTGTCTAATTGTTCCCGTCTAAGGCGTAAGGGTATACCGTGAGTAATAATAATAATATACAATAACTTCTTAACCATAAATTATATTACTTTAATATGAAATATTATTTTGTTACAGTGGCTTTTCTATAGGACACGGTAGATCGCAAAAAGACATTTATAAAGATTTACAAAGTGCTGGTGCAGGGTAAGCATTTATATTTTGATAAAATATAATGAATTCCAAATATTTGATCAATTAAAGTATGTTATAATTAGTGTACAGCAAATAAATTTGTTATATATAATGTATAACTATATACTTTTATATTTGCTACACAATGTAACTATGCAATACCTTCTGTCAACGGGTTTAGCCCTACAACAGGAGTGGTAGCATTTACCATAAAACCTAAGGGTATGGATGTAGATGAATCCCAAGTATATCAAGAATTACTTTGCTTCTCGAGTAATTCTCAACGCGAATGGCCTTCCGCGGAGAAGGTATCTGTCGTTTGTAATTTAAAAAATTTAAATGTTATGCGGCAAAAGTACCAAACATCACTGTAATCTGACATTGAAAACATAATTGCTCATACACAAAGTAAACATGAAACATGTTTACAATTTGGTTGGTTTTAAAAACTGATTGTATTTCCGTGCAGTGATACTGGAACTATTTTGAAGCAATATTGTATCTGCTCCCGGATTATGCGTTAAACTATGTTTCTTTCTCATAACGATATGTAACTTCGCTAGAAATAGCTTTAAGTTCGCCAGAAGTTTTATTTTTTTCGTGCATGAATAGTGCATGGCTGTTCATAATTTTATGCTAAAGCCGCAAGGATGAAGGTCGCCGCAGAAGGTTTAGAAGGCGAGAAGGGGATGAGGCAGGTGGAGGAGGGGCCAATGAAGATCCAGTCGGAGAGGAAGATGGGTACGGAGCATTTTGCAGCCATGCTCAAAGCGAAGAAATCTACCAGGACCTTTGTAGTCTGCACTTGCCACCTCCTCCATCTGTTGCGCAGGTCGTTAATTTTTTGTGTTTTTCACTTGCTATCATTGTATACAATATATTACTCTCAATGATGATATAAAATTGTGAGTTATAATGTTTACCATTGGTTTCGTTACGCTTCGTAGTATTTTGGGTTCTATCTTACGTTCGTGTTATAAACAAATTCCTGTAATGAATTTTCTTGGTAAACAGGACGGTGCAATCTCGGGAGGCGAAAAACGAGATTACGTAATTCAAGAACTCGTGGAAACCGAACGGAATTACTCAGACGTCCTTAATAGCTTGCTCAGGAACTTTGCTAGACCACTCTCATCCTTACTAAGGCCTGAAGATTCAGCACGGATATTTTTTGGCATAAAAGAGCTCGCAGAAATTCACGCCGGTTTCCATAGTCAGCTTCGAAAAGCACGAACCGGTGCCGCTTTAGCGCAGGTTTTTCTTGATTGGCGAGAAAAGTTCCTTATATATGGTGATTATTGTGCAAATCTTACACTTGCGCAAAACACACTGCAAGAAGCTTGCGCGCGAAATGAATTAGTTAATCAAGAAGTTATTGTAAGTTCCTTTGTACAAAGCTTTACCTCATCATATGTTCTATGTACCAATAAATCTTACGGGAATACTGATTGTAGAGGTGTCAACAAGACGCTAATAATGGCAAGTTCAAGCTACGGGACATACTCTCGGTTCCTATGCAAAGAGTATTGAAGTATCATTTGTTATTGGATAAACTAGTAGAAGAGACTCCTTGCGAATGGTTAGAAGATAGACGTCAACTTGGAAAAGCTAGAGAAGTTATGGTTGATATAGCTCAATACATTAATGAGGTAAAACGTGACTCGGACACGTTAGACATTATAAAGGATATACAGGCATCGATAATTGATTGGGACGTTCCGGAAGATGCACAATTAAAAGACTTTGGGCGACTACTTACAGATGGAGAACTTAAGGTATTCTTTTGAAAAGCGAGTTTTGAAAATAATTATTAACGTAACGTCATTGTTCCTCAGGTAAAAGCTCACGGTGACCATCGAGTAAAAGTTCGTTACGCATTTGTGTTTGAACAAGTAGTATTAATTTGTAAAGCGGGTAAAGGAGAACAATATTATTACCGTGAAACTTTGCGCCTAGATGATTATAGATTGGAAGATCATACAGGAAGACGAACACTTGGCAGAGATACTCGAAGGTCCTATCAATGGTTGCTTGTCCATAAACAAGAATATACAGCATATACATTGTTTGCAAGAACGGAAGAACAGAAACAGATGTGGATGAAAGCATTGCAGGATGCGATGGATAATGTTAATCCTGCTGCTTGTCGCAACACCAACCATAAGTTTAAACTTACAACTTTTGATAGTCCGCTTAGTTGTCAACGATGCGGCAAGTTCCTGAAAGGTCGCATATTTCAGGTAGAAGATAACGAATGCATATGTTACTCTAATAATATAATAAAGTATTTATTACAATATTTTCGATTCATACAGGGATATCGATGTGAAATCTGTCGCCTTTCTGTACACAAACAATGTATTGCACACTCGGGCCGGTGTATACCAGTACCGCTACCGCCTCCGCCACCACCACCCCTACCATGCGAACGAGCTCTTTCAGTGAAATTGTGGTTTGTAGGTGAAATGGGACGAGATACAGCTTCCAATAAATTAGAATCCCGAGAAAATGGTACATACATGCTGCGAGTACGACCTGCAGGACAACCGCGTTTAAAGCATGAAACTAATTACGCTCTTAGTATCAAGTAAGATCATCGTAAACTGTTTTTCTCTTTACTTGACCATTTTTATGCATAAATTAAAACAACTTATTACTGTTACAGGGCCGATGGAGCGGTGAAACATATAAGAGTATTTAAACGCGACGTTGATGGAGCTGATCTATACTATCTCAGTGAATCTCGCTTCTTTAAAAGTGTGGTCGAACTTGTTGAATATTACGAACGAGAATCGTTGTCGGAAAATTTTGAAAAATTAGATCAACGCTTGTTGTGGCCATATAGACGTGTATTGGCCAAGGCATTATTCGATTTTCGTGGAGGAGAACGTAATCAACTGAGTTTACAACGAGGCTGTAGAGTTGTAGTCCTGAGTAAAGAAGGTGATACCAAAGGATGGTGGAAAGGAAAAATAGGAGATCAAGTAGGATTTTTTCCAAAGAAATACGTTGAAGAAGAATAAATATAGATTATATTACTTAGGTACTTTCTCAATGTGGTAGCACGACGAGTAAAAATATTTTACACATTAATTACGTCATCGTGCAATCATAACACTTTATTAAAATGCCCCTCAGTGGAGAACAAAAAAGGATAAACTATGACACATTTTTACATTGTATAAAATATAGAGAAATTCATTTACATGCATCAGTATCATTAGAAAAATACAGTTTATTTGATTGTTCTCTTTACTTGAGGTTGTGCTATATCACAATTACATAAATAGAAAGTACATATGCGTGTATGTGAACCGAACGTATAAAAACAAATATATCTAGCAACTTGTATAGACAAAAAATTAATTATTTTTCGGTATGATATGGCGGTACCAACAAAGTTTAGAAACGGTAATTTTCATAAAGATTAAAGTTGTCTATCTTCGTATATTAGAATCACATGGAAAAATTATATTGCCAAATGTTTATAACTTTAGACAACTTTTTTTCTTTATGATTATATTTTAAAGTCAATTGCCAAGCCTCAATTGTATATACTGTAATTCTGTATTGTTAACAATAAAACTTTTAGCTATCTCTTAGATATAAACGTACACAAATATATAAATATCGCTACACGCATTATAGTAACAAACAAATTAATTGTACTATTTTTTTAACTGTTACACATATTTTCTGATTGTGCCAATGAGAATAATCAATAAAATTTAGACCTTATTGAAACGTTAACATAAAAATGAATACTGCTTGTGCAATGCTATAATTCGTTATTCTCGGTTTGTTTTCTTTGAGAATATATAATAGCAGCTACTTTTTGTTCAACTCTTTTACAGCCAGCTATTGCATAAAGATTATGAGGAGAAGGTCCAAACATCACATAAGATAATGCTTCCTGTATCATATTCTCAGTAGGAAGAACATTTCTGTTCGTGAAACTTTTGTTTATACACTTTTTTACATGTGCTTCTTCGAGTGGCAGAAAAGGCACATAATGATCTATGAGACTGGTATGAATTGTGTCGCTGTGATGAAGACCACCTTTCTCATTAAATGCTCCAACACTTATTAAGTGCTCAAAATCTTCAAGTTGAGTTTTGCTTCTATGTTCTCCTTTTTCCCAAAGGGCTAGTAAACGTTGTATGATTCGTGTACTGCCAGTATTTGATAAAAATATGTAAACAGCTTTCCTTGTATTCAATGAAGTACCATAGAGTCTCAATGTTTTTAACCGTGTGTTGTAGTCCAAGAATGGTACAAGAACATTTAATAAACCTTCTGGCATTTTATCCACTTCATCAAATACAAATATTGACCTCTCACATTTCTTTAAACTCTCAGTAATAACTTTACGTAATTCTTCCTGTATTATATCAAGGAACATATTATAAAAATCAATTTACACATAAGTTTAAAAATACAGAACACTATATATGCATAATGTTTGAGTTTTACTTTAAACCTAGCCTCGTAATTAAGAATTGAAAATGTACCTTGTAAAGTTCTACATCTTGTTGCAATGGAAAATCATTACGACCATTGAAGCAATGATAAAAGTTACTTTGTTGACCTTGTTTATAAAACGATTTAGCAATCATTTGGGCTACATATGTTTTACCAGTACCTGGAGGACCATGAAAACTCATAGCCAAAGCTTTTGGAGGATCAGACCAAGTTAGGTGTCCACGCAAGGCATTTATTATTACACGATGAGCAATCTGTTGCCCAAAAACTTCTGTATTAAAAAGATCATCTAACTCTACGGATAAGTATATACATATAATAAAACGTAGTTACAACATTAATGTGTGTATAATATTCCATTTTCCAAATTGACATACTCACTATCAATGTTAGGAGAAATATAATCATCGTTACAACACTCCGTAAATTTACACGGAACATACGATATCGAAGAAGAAATACCACTATATAAAGACGAAAATGTATCTGTCCATTTCGCACGAATCGTTGTTAGACTGACAAGAATATATATAGACAAGAAACAGACAAAATTCATTTTCTATATACCACTGCATAAATGTTCACAAAAAAAATCGTATTCGATGAAACTAAAACATTACTTACTGATATGCAACATAAGTTATCAGAAATTATTTATTTTACTACGAATTCATAGAAAAAAAACATTAGATTACAATCTTCCTGCAAAGAAACAAGAAACCGTTTCAATTCGAACACCGAGAGAAGACACACAGATACCATTTTAAAACTTACACAAAAATCGAGACCTCTCATTGGTCGAATTTCAAGATCATAATTTTCCACTACAATTAGGAGATACCAAAAAATCATGTGAAATGTATAGAAATACAATTAATTTACACAATCATTACATATAAAGAGCTTTTCATTACTTGCATTGCTACATTGAAAATTGAACTTACAAGGAGTAGTAATTCGCTCTAATAAGCAATAAATATCACAGTTTTGTGAATTGTACCATCTGTACATCCTGTAACATTTATTGAAAATTTTATTTGCTAGCATTCCTTTTTTTGGTACAACACAACTTTATTTTGTAGTGCTAATTTATCATTACTGTTAAAAATAAATGTCTATCGATCAAAATCTGTGACAACTTTGAGACGAAATTGCTGACTACATTAGGAGATGATGTACGCAAAGCTAATTACTGAAGAACCTCGTTATTCATAGGCTCATACAAGATTCGCATCATCTACTAACCGATTCACTAAATTCAGACCGTAGCTGTAGTTGCAGCTGACCGATGAGCTATCGAAAAAATATCGTGCGTGTTACTTACATCTTTGAACCAGTGCTATAGTAATTTAAACAGAATGCAATCTTTTATACTTAGCTTACACTTTGTTTATTCTTTTCAGTGCTATCTATTATCATAATCAATTATCTTCGCAAAAGTATTGTTTCTTGAAAGAAGAAAAGATATGGCGTCCGAGAACACAACTGCTGCTGATACCGCTCCTACCAAATTGTACACGCGGAAGGAAGTTGCTGAACACACTGATAGCAACGATCTGTGGATTATCATTAACAATAAAATCTACAATTTGTCTTCATTTCTCAGTGAGGTTGACATAATTATACTTTTCTGATTGTGATCTATTATATTTTAATAGTTATATTTACCATGTCCTCTTGATAAAACATCTGTAAAAATATTACTTTCTTTTTTACTTGGAATTTAAGCATCCTGGCGGAGAAGAAGTTCTTTTGGAACAGGGTGGCCAAGATGGAACTCAACCTTTCGAGGATATTGGTCATTCTAGTGATGCCAGACAGATGATGGAATCATACAAAATTGGAGAACTCGTAGAGGTGAGTGCAGTGTTTCTTGTTTGCACATTGTTTGGAAAAATCAAGAAGTTAGTTTACTTAAGAAGGGATTTATCAATTGTAGGAGGAGAGAACAAAGGGAAATGCCTCTGGATCTAGTGCTTTGTACGGAGAAGATAATTCCAGGTATAACATTATATTTTACTTTAGTTAATATTACTGTGTATACATATTATTATCAATGAATATAGTGTTACAGGTACATAATTTTGTTACTAACAATTTATTTCCATCGATGTTATACTTGATATTTTATAACTATCTGTGTTAATATTTATTGGATAGTACAATTGGAAATCTAATTTCTAATCCTTACTTATCTTCTACTTTAACATGCTTATTGTATCTATAACAACATGCTTATATGTTTTGTTCTTATGTACAACTGCAGGATGCTGCTCTACTCTATTTGTAAATTATGCTTGTACTATCCAAACTTGTAACATTATTGAAATTTAAGATATGTAATATGTAAATAGTCGATGCTGCAACATGATGTGATGATGATTGGCAATTGCAGTGGTTCTTGGAGGTCATGGCTGATTCCTATTGCACTTGGGGTACTGGCAACTCTTGTCTACCGTTATTTTATCAAAGCACACTGAATCATTCCCGCTATTTATTTTTTTAGTAATTTGTATTATACATACATAATTGTTGTGGATAATTAATCAAAGGATATTATGTATGTTGCACATTATTACAATTTTTTTATGTCACGAAATTGCACATACAAGCGGGCCTAGCGCAAAAACATTTACAAGATATGAAAGTTCATTTGTTACAATGAAACAAAAAGAGGTCTATATACAAGTTCATGTAAATGTAGAATATCAGTATATTGATTATAAATATAAAAAGAAACAAGAGAAGTTACTTTAACGTACATTGTTGCATTAGGCTTCCTCAAAAATGAAGGGAGGAAGTTTGATTTATAAAAATAGGTATATATTTAAATTCACTAAGTACAATAGTTGATTTGAAAAAAACTTTCGTACATACAAGTGCTCTTATATTCGGTAAAAGAAACACACATATAACTAAATAAATAAATTAAAGCAATCAAAGAAGAATATGAACGAATATTATCTATTAATCTTAATGAAAAAAAAAACAATTTTAAATTTTATTGAAGTCCGTATGTTTAAATTATAAGTGAACACGCATTTACCTGGATGAAAGTTTTCATTTTTATAATATGTTGTGAACAGTTACCGTAGTAGTGCATTTTAAAACTACAACTTACTACCAAACTATTACTGTAAAGTTTTGTGTATTGTAAAAATAAAACAATTTTTGTTATGTTTCATGTGTTGTAAATAATAATATTTGTACACCATATTTATTATTCATATGTAAAAGTATGAAAGGAATCCTTTAATTCCATAGACCATGGAAGACAGAATTATATTTAACTATATTAAAGAATTACAAATTAGGAAATCTTGAACAATAAAATCAACTTATTGACCATATATTATTTTATTAGCTTATATTGGTCATAATGTGTAATAATTGACTTACTGATTTTGTCAATGTCTCAAGGATTAAAGGAATATACAAGAAAATTTGACACCCTATTGGTTGCATCTTTTTCTCATAAATCTAATTATTTAAGTCATTCTGGAACAATGAACATTTAAGAGCCAAAAATACTATGAGGAATTTAGTTAAGAGATTAACAATAAATCTGCACTAAGATATGGTAAGCAATGGAGGGTTAATAAATATATAGATTAGGTCTGGTTTAAAAAGTAAGCACAGGATTACGTGGTAAATTCATCATAGGTTGTCATAGGTGGACGATAAAAGTTGGAAGACAGAGAAACGATATCGAGCGAGTTCAGGCGCCGACGCGTGGCCCTCGCGCGTCTATCCTTCTTCCCCTCTTGGTCTAGCTTCCCCTTCCCGGCATCGTTGCCGATCGCTGTTTGACGGCTACCTTTCCGGCAGTCGAGTCGAATGCCCGGATTGCCCAGTACATCGTCAGAACTGGATCGGTGCGTATCGTGTTGCAATATTACAGGCTGATACGACACACTAGTCTAACGACGCATACGTAGCTTCGCGCTAGAAAAGGTAGAAGGCCTAGAAAAGTTGAGGCAGACACGTTCGACTGGAAGACGGAAGAGGGAAGACATCGCGCGCGGAGGGGTGTCGCCGGTAGTGGAACCAAAGAAGAAAAAGGGCGCACAAAACGGTCGCCCCTGATACCGCGAACAAGAGAATCGCGAGTGAATTTTGCGCGAAAAAGGAGTCAGACGGCGAGCAGAAGACAGCTATAGTCTGGCAAAGACGTTGCTTTCACTGAAAAGTCGGCGTAGTGTCATGAGAGGCGGTCTTACAGTCCGCCCTTCTTATCGGTCCTTCTTAGAGTCATGCATGTCGCGCCCTTCAAACGAGGTAAGCAACACGTATTCTCACTCGTTGGACTCCCGGTTACATTCTTTCATCCCGCTATGGTATTACGGTCACTCGAAAGAAGAAACACTTATTTATAATTGGAAAGATTCGCGCGCTTTTTACCCTCGCTGGGTCACTTCATTCATAAGCACGGCTCTCATTCTTGGGACAAGGCCCTTTTATTGTTTTGAAACGCGTTCAATCTACTTCTTGTAACTGAGAAACAGAAATTAGTTTTTCGTTAATTTAATCAAAGAACGCGATAGTCATCGGTAAATGGAAATCGATTTCATGTTTGTAAACTTGTCTTTCCAAACAAAAGTACAATTATATTACAAAACGACAAAACACGTGCTTGTCCAGACGTATCCGTGACTTATGCGACCGTTTTCGACACGTCAATTACAATAACATTTTCACTTTGTCTAGTTGATTTCTTGCCGCTATACATATGTACGAATATGCATGTTAGGAGCACACTAAAAATGCAAGATAAAATAAAAACGCATGTAACGTTGAAGTCGCGCAAGAAAATTGCATATGTATCAGGAAACGTAACTATGCGCGTGCACAATATAAACATGAACTTAGCCAATTTTACTTGTTTAGAAGAATCGCGTGTAATTGGCGCAAACATAGACGACTCCGACGAATCGTTTCAAAACAAAATTTAAAAAAAAAAAACGGAAACCTCAAAATCCATTAACTCGATCGAACGAAAAATCCTTGTTATGCAATGCGAGAAGAGCACGACTCCCGAAATTCAAGAGGAGTTGCGTCATCCCGTGAAACGGAAAGCTGGAGTTCGTGGGGTGTACGAAATCCTCAAGATATACCGAGAATATCTCTGCGTTTTCTATTTACATATTCGATTTCTTCTACACAGTAACGTCGATTTAAACGTGGTTAAGAACGCCGCGTGCATCGATCTTTCATTCATACGTTGCTATTTCTTGTGCTTATTGTAAGCGAACGGAATCAAATTTCCAGGTCCGATCCGATGTCGAATCCAACCGATGATGCATATTCTAAGATGTTTCGAGTCGTCGATTCTCATTAAAAGAACCGTTTTAACCATGATGTGTTTCTTCGCGATAAGTTTGAAACCTTGAAAATCCTAAAAATTCGCCATGAAAAATATGGTTTGTTTCGCGTTAAACGAGTATCTGTTATGAATACAATTTCGATCGAATGCCATCCTCGCATTTGAGATCGCGAGCTTATTTTTAACATTTCACAATGGATATGTGTCGTACGAACTGGCCACAAATAGACGAGCGAGTTCTCAACGATACATTTGCCGGAGAGAGACAACGATAAGCGGCAAGGCGGGATGTGTTCTGTTTAAGCCAATTAAGTATATTGTATCCTTTACACGCGAGCTTGTACGCAAACTTATTCTTCTTAATGGTGCTTCGCGGTGGTTTTTCGGGTCGAGTGAACCTGACAGGGGGGACCATCGGATGTACAGAAGAAACAAATTATTTCAACAATCATCTTGTACGAAAAATTACCGCGTATACGTTACAGTTGGTCTGGGTCGTAAGACAATAGGAAATAAAAGCGATCGATAGGACGAAACGAAAAGCATTGACTAACTCGTCACAGAACTATAAATCGACAGCTTTACACAGATAATTTTACGGTTCTATCGCGTCAGAAGGTATGTAAATTGAATGCTTCCCGACTATATTTGCGCAACAGAAACGAGAGCTTTCCAACTATCGCTTTGATCATCGTTGGAACGCGACGATACTTCACCATTCCCGCACAATTTTTCAACTCAAAGAGTTGTTTGTTAGAAGTTCAAGCGTCTGTCAGTTCACTTCAAAATTTAAATCCACGTCTCGTGGATCCATGTGGATAATTGTCGATTATCGATTCGATGTCCGTCGACTATTCATACAGAATTCCTGGCATTTGTTGCTTAACTCGAAGGTACGTGCAAATTCAGCTCTCGTTTCGGGACATTCGTTCGGAACGAGACTGGGTCAAACAAATTTAAAAGCATCAAAGTACAATTTAATGTTCCTTTTACGATCAACTTGACCTTCATCTTGAACACAATCAGTCGAGACCACGCGCAAAGATCGGTTTTTTTCACACGAGCAATCAATTAAACCCAATTGTATCATTACGAATATTACGCCACGATGAACATTAAGTATTTCAATTTTCATAATTCCTTGATTGAGTGTTAAGGATTAATTTGAATAAAACGAGTAATTCAAACTACGTGAAAATAATTAACACGCAGTTCTTTCCAACGATAAACGCCAACCGTTGATTAAAACTGTCCACTGTGTGTTAGCATATCGTGTTACCGCTTCGAGGAATTTTGCAACTTAATTCGCTGTTCGTCATCGAACGAGAACAGCCATGGTTGTGTGGTGGCAATCACCTTCTATTAGGCGACATCTTTGTTACTTGAGTCGTTTAAAACCATTAAACTCGCCTTGCTCTTACGCCAAGCAATTAGATTGCCCGACGATAGAACAAAATATCGGTCGCGATTGCTTTTAAACAAGACCGAATTACATTCCTCGTGTATCAGACACTTTCGACACCGACTGAAGACAAGACGCAATATCTTTCTCGATGCTCAAGTTAACGAGGAAAATGAAAAATTTACTTCTACATCGGCAAATAATCAGAAAAGTTCCAAAAAAGTATTTTCGTAAATATCGTGCAACGGAAAACCATAGGCGAACGGAGGAAATCGATAGTACTTTATTGAAAGGTCACCTTGAAAGAAATACCACGTCTTGCTTGATATGTACGAGCGTTTCGGTTGCCGCAGGAATGAATTTGTTGTTTGTTGTGAGAATACAACAAGCTCGTAGTATCGAGTTACTGTATACGCATTCAGAAAGATTTATGGATTTCGTATTCGTTATCGACGTGTTCGTTACGGATAATATTGATTTTTGGCCAGCAAACGGCAAGTAAAAGTGGTTTGGTAAAATTACTGATAAAACAAGCTGTGTTACTAGCACGATTAATAAACTCGGTATCGAGTGCGATTCGACTTGCCGATTGCGATATTCTCGTTCTATCGTTGGACAAAAAGGCACACAACAAACGAATACATATGACACACAAATGCGTTTGTGTATTGTGCGGCGGAATACACGTAAAGAAGGAATTACGATCTCGGTCACGAGAAATCTTCTGGCATCCAGCCACGCAAACTATTACGGTAACAGCAACGCCTCAAAGATAATAATATAGTAATGTTCGTCACGTGGCGACATAAATACAAATTCAACGGTTTGCCGCTTTTTGGATCCCCCGCGCGCTCCTTCGGACTATGCAACACGTAACCCATTTTTCATCAGTCACCGAAGGCTAAGCAACGTGTACACGGACACGGTCACGTATTATCAATCACAAACGATTTTCGAACTAACTACCGTGGATAGTATACCTGGCGACATTAAACGTCACTTTCGATTTCGCTTAAACGATAAAAACAACAGTACAAGTGGATATTTTGAAAAACTACGACTGGTTCTCGCGCGATTGTCTCGTGTAATTGGAGAATGAAAAAACCTCTTTTCTGCACGGTAGCACTCTTTGTCCATCGACATATAGAAGACTTGCTCGAAATCATCCGATAAACCATGTATGAAGGTAACCACCGTATGGTTCTCTTTCGATGACGATCTAAAGTCAATCGATTCTGAAAGAAAAAAACAATTATTTCGAAAATACACATACGTGTTGTTACGTTACGGGCAAAAGAAGGTACAATAAAGGATAAATAATAATTTGTTTCAGCTACCGTGGGGGGACATGATCCACAAACGAGTAACGGCAATCAGCCACAGCAACAGGTGCAAGGCGGAAATTGGATTGGGATTCCCGAGTCGACGTTGGTGTCACGATCAGCCAGAAGCAGCGGCAACAGTAATGGCTGGAACCCCGCTGTTGCGACGCCGTTTCAACATCAACAACAGCTACACGAACGGAAACAAAAAGAAACTAAATCTGGGGATTTGGGAGATGACGAAGACGGGGGTGGAGGGGGTGGAGGGCTGGAGGGGACGGACCCAGAGGAGAACAACTCTGTTCACCTCAAGAGACGGGTGGGACTCGTCAGTGGGGTGGCTCTAATCGTTGGCACCATGATAGGTAGTAATCGATCCACGTTAAATATCCATATTTCTTCCTGAAAACGATTTCGAGGGTAACGCAACGTTTCGTTACGTATGTGAAACAGGTTCTGGGATATTCGTTTCGCCGTCAGGGCTTTTAGTTCGAACTGGCAGTATCGGAATCAGCTTCCTCGTATGGACGGCCTGTGGAATGTTGAGCCTCTGTGGCGCATTGGCATACGCCGAATTGGGTACGATGAACACCAGCAGCGGCGCCGAGTATGCTTATTTCATGGATGCTTTTGGTGCGCCGCCTGCTTTCCTCTTCTCATGGGTCTCCACGTTGGTCCTGAAGCCGTCTCAAATGGCGATAATATGCCTCTCGTTTGCGCAATACGCGGTAGAAGCGTTCGCAGCCGACTGTGATCCACCCGAGGAAGTAGTTAAGGTTGTCGCTCTCCTGGCGATAATACTTATACTGTTGGTAAATTGTTACAGCGTTAATCTAGCCACAGGTGTACAGAACGCGTTCACCGCAGCCAAATTGATCGCTATACTCGTTGTAATTGCCGGCGGTTCGTACAAGTTGATACAGGGTAATACGCAGCACCTAAAGGGCGCTTTCGATACGATAGACGGCAATACCGTGAACATCGGCAGATTGGCCACTGCCTTTTACACTGGTTTGTGGGCCTATGACGGATGGAACAATCTCAATTACGTTACGGAAGAAATCAAAGATCCATCGAAGAATTTGCCGCGTTCCATTATGATCGGTATACCTCTTGTTACGCTCTGTTACGCGCTGATAAACGTCTCTTATCTGGCCGTGATGTCGCCGTCGGAAATGATTGAAAGCGAAGCCGTTGCAGTGGTAAGAGGGCAACCTGTAATTTTGGTTGTTTCGATTAGAAGCCAAGAATTAGAACATACAATAGTGTATTCTTCCATTAATTTATTTCACTGAAATCGATTGGATTTATTGGAAACAGAAAAACAAAATCTATTCAATCAGACGATTCATCCTTGTGTAACGTTTTACAGACTTTTGGAAATCGGATTCTTGGCGTCATGGCATGGCTCATGCCTCTCTCGGTTGCGATCAGCACGTTCGGTTCCGCAAATGGTACTCTCTTTGCAGCAGGTAGACTATGCTTCGCCGCGTCCCGTGAGGGTCATTTGCTCGATTGTCTCAGTTATGTACACGTGCGACGGTTTACCCCCGCTCCAGGACTCATCTTCCATTCTCTTGTTGCAGGTACTGTTTATACATCAATTACTTAATTTCGATTAAAAATACAATACTACACCAACATCAATGATTTAATAAATTAAAATGCATTTCTATTGATCAGGAGCGATGGTGTTATCCGGAAACATTGATTCCTTGATCGACTTCTTTTCATTTACCGCTTGGATCTTTTATGGTGGAGCAATGCTTGCTCTGTTGGTGATGCGAAGGACCAGACCAAATCATCCACGACCATACAAGTGTCCGCTGGTGATACCCGTACTCGTACTGGGAATCTCTGCGTACCTGATTGTAGCGCCGATCATTGATAAGCCTCAAATCGAATACTTGTACGCGTTCGGGTTTATATTAGCGGGCATGCTTGTCTACCTCCCATTTGTTAAATACGGATATGTGCCCAAATTTATGGGTAAGCGTATATCAATGAAAAAAGAAACCGTTACAATGAATTCAAAAAGAAATCATTAGATAATACATGAATACTACTTGGCTAATTTGCAGAAGGAGTAAATGTCTTTCTTCAAATGTTGCTCGAGGTAGCACCAACGGCTGCAGCCTTTGACTGACTTCGAGGAAATACCAGTATCTACTGGTTCTCTAAATGCCAAATCATACCATCGCGGCATCCTGAACCATATATGAATGTATATTTTAAATATGCATAGACAAAAATGTGTACTCTATTATTAAAGCACAAGGCTGGCCCAACTGATTCATAAACATGTAAAAAAAAAATATTATTTTATTACTCGTTATTCTTCGTGTATAACATACAATATATGAAACATGTTACTGTTAGACATAATTAGTTGATGTTGTATCAATTGCAATGAAGCAACTAAAAATATTTTAAACGTTTACAGTTGCAATTTCATCTTTTCTTTTTATTCTCTGTTTTTTTATTCACTTTCCCATAATCATCTAAGATACCACTAGAACGTTTCTTTTTAGTTTTAATAGTCTTATGTTTCTTCATGCTTCTTTCAAGTCCAGATACATGTTCCTCGTTTTTTTGCATTTCCTTTTGCGTGCTTCTTTGATGTTTTAATGTCTTATAATTAATTGCCTTATTTTTAAAAGGTTTTGCACCCAAACTTATAGCGAGTTGAACTTTTGCGTTATTTGCCTTTGCTTTTTCAAAACCAGACATACCGAACTTCATAACCTCATATCTGACCCGCTTCATCTCTAGGTCCTGCTTCTTCTTCTGATCTATATCTTTATCTCTTCCATTCACTTTCACATTTTCGTTAACAGTATGTACGTCTTTTTCTTCGTCGCTTTTACAATTCTTTTTTGGTTTCTTCATGGGTGCTTCGTAATTAACCGATATGAATTCTTCTACAGCATGTCTTTTTACTAATTTCGACACTCGCGTCGGAATAAAATCTGCCATTGCAATATGCTAAAAAATAGGCAACCGCATTAACTATTTAAATCCCAAGCAACAATCATTCAACAAAAACTTCAGAATACATAATAGATGTAAGTACTTACAATAATTGATTCAAATATGGAGAAGAATCGTCATTTAAAACAAAAACTCTGATGCCAGAATAGATAAGTACATACTCAGTACTTACAATACTTACATAAATATTTAGTTGCCTATTTTAATTTCTTCGAGAACTACAGGAATCGCGCAACGAACGTGAAATTATAGTGACCATGCCATGGTCACAAAATGTATATCATACTTTATGATTTGACATTTCTCGCGTCTTTATCGGCAATGCTGGGCAATGCTTAAACCGGTTAAACATAACCCCAGAGATGTAAATGCAGCATGTGTGTAATGTATATAACCTAAAATAAATGTGTCGTATCCCATGAGCATAGCGGTCGCAAAATATATACTAGGATTGACGTTTAATTACAATGGAAGAGTATCCACTTATCAATGTACGCTTGGCTGTGAATAGAGTTGATCTAAACTTAATTAAAAGCGAAGATGTCCAACCACGAATATATACGCCAGGAGAAGAAATATCTAGCCAACCTGATTTCTTAAGGTAAAACACGCGTAGTTGCATTACCTGCAAAGGGAAGAACAATTCTTACTTAGTATACATTTTTATTAGAGGTCATGGAACGTATGTAGATGATGAAAACACATTACGTGCATCCGTGGCTGGTGTTTTAGAAAAAGTAAATAAACTTATTTCTATAAGACCATTGAAAGCACGCTACCAAGGCGAAATCGGAGATGTTGTAGTTGGTCGCATAACAGAGGTGCAACAAAAGCGCTGGAAAGTTGATACAAATTCGAAACTTGATTCTGTACTTTTATTATCGAGTGTTAATCTACCTGGAGGAGAACTGGTATAGTATTTAAGTAGAACCATATACGTTTTTACAATCGTGTATTTAAACTATAATAATTTTAATGACAAATCATTTTACATGACTTATTAGAGAAGAAGATCTGCGGAAGATGAACAGACTATGAGAAGGTATCTCCAAGAAGGAGATTTAATTTGTGCAGAAGTACAGAGTACTTTTGTAGATGGTTCACTTTCATTGCACACTAGAGTTTTAAAGTATGGCAAATTGTCTCAAGGGATAATGTTAAAAGTTTCACCAGCTCTCATAAAACGAAAAAAAACACACTTTCATAATTTGGAAAATGGTGCAAGTTTGATATTAGGAAACAATGGTTATATATGGATTGGAGTCGGTAAACAGGATACTGATAGATCAGAGAGTGGTTTCACTCAAGACTTATCCAGAATTCCACAAGTAAATCGTGAAGTTTGTGCACGTCTACGTAATTGTATTTTAATCTTGGCACAATGTAACATGCACCTTACAGATACATCTGTCACATATGCATACGAAGAATCTATGAAGTATAGAGTGAACGAATTGTTGGAATCTGAAGCAATGGTTGATGTATCATTATTAACTCATCAAAGGCTTGCACAATGACTTTATGTTATATTTATACATAATTAAACATTATTTAACATAAGAAGAAAAATATAAAAAATCACATGATAATTTCTAATGTTGACATTTAATTGAATGCATTGAACAATAAAAAATTTTGTACAAACCTTTTATTTGGAATTTCTATACCTGAAAAAGTATGTACTGTTGTAGTAAACTGAGGGATTGCCAGGCCTACTACAAATGAATGACAGATATCTATGTATAGTCTATATAGTAGGTGTAAATATTATTAAAAGTTAACACTGCAGTGCAGTAAATCTGAAATATAGTATATAGCAATACACTGCAGCATTTTCTCAGCAGCTTATGGTGTGAAAATAGCATATAATATGACGGCACCCTTCTACAATGAGTATTGATTACACAAATGACTTGGAAACAAGTAGCCACTGTGAAGAAATATGGATGCGTGTTTCACTGCTTTTGATAAAAATGGAGATGGATATTTGTCTATCATGGAATTTGAACTTCTCTGTCGTGCATTGTTTCGTAATGATCGTGGAAAAGTTTACACTTTAGAAAAAAATCAGTTAAATGAAATATATTCTATATTTGATTGGAAAGAAGATGGCAAGATTGACAGGGAAGAATTTGAGGTATGCTTGTGAATAAATTACTACTATTTTTATTAAAGTTAGCTTGATTATAAGCTTTTTTCTAATAATTATACAGATGTGTTGGAACCGTTGGATTAAAGTATGCTGTCGTCCAAAGAGTGCATTTCTCATTGTAGATGTACAAAATGACTTTATAACAGGGTCTTTAAACATTAAGCAATGTGCTGCACAACACGATGGTTCAGAAGTAATTGAGCCAATTAATCGTTTATTAGAAACTGTACAGTTTGATGCAGTATTCTATTCTCTCGATTGGCATCCTGTAGATCATGTATCTTTTATTGATAATTTACATCTCAGGTAACTAACATCCGCGTATTTAAGTATTATCAGTATGTTCCGATAGTTATATTCATTAGTTGAATATCATACTTTTGTGACAGAGAAGTTGATCCGAGCAGTGAAATTCCAAAAGAGACAGCACAGGTGTATGATACGGTCACATTCAGGGGGCCACCTCTATTAATACAACGTCTTTGGCCACGTCATTGCATTCAGGATTCTTGGGGTGCAGAGCTTCATAAAGATCTAAAGGTCGTTGATAATGCAATTAAAATATATAAAGGAACTAATCCAGAAGTGGACTCATATTCTGTTTTTTGGGACAATAAAAAAATGCAGGATACCAGTTTATCATCACAGTTACAAGAAATAGGAGCAACAGACATATACATTTGTGGTTTAGCTTATGATGTTTGCGTCGGAGCTACTGCAGTCGACGCACTTAAAAGCGGCTATCGAACTATCCTCATCGATGATTGTAGTCGAGGGGTAGATCTTGTTGATATAGAAAAAACCAAAGCTACTGTCATAGTTAGTAATGGTGTAATTGTGAATTCCAACCAGGTAAAAGCAATGGTTGAGGGAAAGGACCGTCGACCAGAACTTGGATATAAACTAGCTTTAGAAATTAAACAAAAATTGAATTGTGTAGATGCCGATAACGCTAATGAAGTCGCTTCTACGTAAATTAATATACAAACTTGTTAAATCGAAGATAGTGTATGAATTTATTAAATCAGTGTGATATTACATGTTGCAGAGAATATTCTGTTAAAAACTATTTAAATGTATGAAGTAAATTAGAATAAATATATTTTTCTGCATGAAACTTTTGTTTTCGTACAAATTTTAAATGTTAGTATACGCTTGAGGTACAAAAAAAGTATAATGAACTTTCTTATTCTATTTAAATGTGTACCGCGAAATTTATAATGGCGATGTGTAACCGTAATGTCCGTATGTTTATATATGTATGTACATTGAACAGTTACTGGAATTGTTGGTTTCCGCTATTCGTTCAGTATTTTTAATAAATAATTTAAATAAAAAAAATATATACGTCCTACATTAACATAATTATAGACCGATAACAATAAAAACTATCCACACATTATGGTATATAATAGATACGTGTTCTCTGAATATAACCTAAAGAATAGATCGGTTACAGTTTAGTTGATAAGCTTAAAATTCGAAAATATCTTTTATTATAATTAGATAATATAATACTATCAAAATAGGGCATCATGTTTTATCATGTAAGTAATTTTTACATACACAATTTATAATTGAATACGTAAGAGTAATCCAACTATTAATATTTTTGTTTATTCATTTAATAAAAGGTTTTGGATTGTAAAATCGATACTGAATTTGAAAATTGTGTATCTTTGTAGATATCATTGGAACATGAAATTTTATTACATCCCAGATATTTTGGCCCTCAGTTGTTAGATACTGTGAAGCAAAAACTATATACGGAAGTAGAAGGTACCTGTACAGGAAAGTAAGTTTATGTTAATCATCAGTACATTGTATTTATTTTGAGTAATTGTATCAATAATTCATAATATTTTAGATATGGCTTTGTAGTTGCTGTAACAACAATAGATAATATAGGTGCAGGTATTATACAACCGGGACAAGGATTTGTAGTATATCCAGTTAAATATAAGGCTATTGTTTTTAGACCATTTAAGGGAGAAGTATTAGATGCTATTGTAACACAAGTAAATAAGGTAATAAAACTGTTCAACATGTGTAAAAGTATTATGTTACTATACTTATTTTCTTTTTTTTTGTTAGGTTGGAATGTTTGCTGAAATAGGTCCTTTGTCATGTTTTATATCTCATCATGTAAGTGATTCTTATATTAGTTATAGTTTTATAGTATTCTTTTATAAATTATTAATATCCTTGACAGTCGATTCCAGCAGATATGCAGTTTTGTCCAAATATAAACCCTCCATGTTATAAGTCAAAAGAAGAGGTGAATTTCCTTGTTACAATATAATACTTAATGCAGTTGTAATATTACAATTATAACTGGCAATATTATTTTTAGGATGTCATCATTCAGCCAGATGATGAAATTAGACTGAAAATTGTTGGTACAAGAGTTGATGCCACTGGAATTGTCAGTATTCAAGATCCATAACTTTTCTTTTGAAAGATAGTTTAGTATTAAGTATTAATGTTGTATATTTTTATTACAGTTTGCTATTGGGACATTGATGGATGATTATCTTGGTAATTATATATATTGTATTAATTTAACAACTTTGTTTATGACACTACATTTTTCTAAAATTTCTCTTTTATAGGACTTGTCTGCAACTAAACGCAATAGATGTATTGATTATCTAATTGTATAAGTTCGGCATATTAAATAAAATCTTGCTATACGATAAAGCATGAATTCTGAGTGTTATTAGCACAAACGGAGTGTTATATATTCCATTCATATTGCGTGTGTCTATATGATGTGACGGGAATAAAAATATCCGATGCTTCAGTTTAAGGTTAAGGGATAAATATGACAGTCATGAAACATGAAACGGGAAAAGTATATATTTTTTCACCTAATTACAAGACAATTTATTCTAAATGCATCGTTAATGGATTTCATTCGTTTTTATATCTTGCTTTACATTTGTATATTTGTAACAGATAAATTCAGAATAGATATAGTTTCATAAGTAGTTTATCAAATCTACCTTTTGGCCGTTGCGGGAATGCCTTACCGTAATGAGCCATCTCGTGGCCGCGGGATTCCGGGAATCGGGTGACGTCACGGCGTGCGAGCGAGAGCGGTAGAGCGAGCCGCGGTATCGGTGCTCTCCGTCGGTGTTGACGGGT